GGGTGAATCCCAATTTATTGCACCATTGATCTACTCCGTCCAGGGCTGACTGGAGTTTTTTTCTGATTTGTGAAATATCTCTGTGCTTTACCCTTATTGCTCCGTCATCAGCGAATTTAGAAGTTTGGGTAGGAGAGTTGACATGGTCAAAAAGATCATTGATCATGATATTGAACAGGGTTGGGCTTATAATGCTGCCTTGTGGCGTGCCATTATCCAGTGCCATAGGATCAGATCGATTGTTCCCTATTTTAACTGATAGCGACCTGTCTTGCAGGAAGCTGTCTATGAAGTTTGCCATGTTCCCTTCTACTCCATTTTGTGCTAGTTGTGAGAGGAGTCCTTCATGCCACATCATGTCGAAGGCTTTGCTGAAGTCCAGAAATACTGCGGCTAGGTATTGTCTGTTTAATTGCGCTTTTTTAATTTCATTTTCCAGTCTTAGAATATGATCTAGACACGAGTGTCCCTTCCTAAAGCCACTTTGGTCAGGTTTTATGTGGTTGCCAGTTTCAAGCTGATGCATGAGCCTTTTCGTAACCATGGCTTCCATGGCTTTGCACATGTTTGAGGTGAGTGAGATCGGTCGATAAGAGTTTGGTAGGGCTTCGTCTTTCCCTTGCTTTAGCAGCGGGATAACTGCAGCATGTTTCCATGCTTTTGGGACTTCTCCTTTGGACCATATCCTGTTATACAACTCAGTGAGTAAGCTTTTGGTTTGATAAGGTAGGTTTTACAGTATCTCGTAGCTGGATGTGTCAAGACCAGGTGCTGTGCCTGTTCTATGTTGTATCGCATCATCAAACTCTGTCACAGTAAATGGTATATCGTATACCAGATGCTTTCTTTGCGGCCGTTTTGAGATCTTAACCATAAGCATTTTTTCCTGTTTGAATTCTTCGCTGCAATTTGTGTTGCTGCTGACAGATGAGAAGTGCTCAGCTAGAAGGTTTCCCTTTTCTTTGACTGTATGGGCGTTGGCTAACTTGGGAATTTTTGTGGGTTTACGTTTACCCCTGATTGCGTGTATTTTGCTCCAGACTGTTTTAGCATTTGTTTTCTCATTGAGAGATTTGCAGAAGGTCTGCCATGACTCCTTTCTAGAATCGTCTATGAGTTATCTTACTTTTGTCCTGGCTGCTCGGACTTGGGCGAAGGCTGATTTATCCCTTTTTGACCTATTTAGGGCTTTCTTTCTCACTCTCCTAGCTTTTGCTATTTCCCTGTTCCACCATGGTACCGGAGTTTTGCCAGTTTTGTGGTCTTTTTTTGGAATTTATTTTTCAGCTGCGGCAATAATTGCTGAGGTGAGATTTTGGCAAAAAAGATCAGGATTATCTGAGACAATTTCTGTGGACTTGAATGATATACATTCCTTCCTGAATCTAGGCCAATCAGCCTTTGCATAGTCCCATGTGGGCTGAGGATTGGGCTGTTCCTCTAATTGTGGTGGGCTACCTATGTAGGTGAGTATAGGAAGGTGATCGCTTCCCCAAGTGTCGTCATGGACTTGCCATTGGCAATGTGAGGCGAGGTTTTTGGTGGCAATTGTGAGATTAATTGAACTCCATGTGTTGTGGACTTGGTCATAACATGTGTGACTGCCGTTGTTCAGAGTTATGAGATTGTCGGGTGGTGGAGTTAGAGAGGGCGTTTTATATGGTGGTGGTGTCAGAAGGAGGTGGTGTGAGGCGGTGGCTTTAGAAGATGATGGCGGTAAGGGGTGGAGGCGGGGGCCAGACGCAGTTGATGTCAGAGGGTGGTGGTGTTAGATGGTGGTGGCGTCAGGGGATGGTGGTGTTAGGAGATGTTAGATAGGCGGCAACATTTAATCTGACTGACTGACTGATATAGGAGATTAAACGTGCGCTTTCCGACTGTAGCGTATTTCGCACACGGGCCTGGCCGGACCATTTAGTGTATTCCGAAAGGGTGAAAGTGGTGTGTGCAACCCAAGAGGGGGCTTTTAGGGGTTGCTTATATTGAATTTTTGGAATTTTTAAATTTGGAATAAATGCCGAGGTGGGTGGAGGAGGGAACTAAGGGAGCCGGGTGAGGTGGGTGTTTGTATGTTTATTCGGATTTTTGATTGGTAGATTAATGAGTTTTTAGATGCGCTTAATTAGATCTGTTTTGATTAGGAATACGCCTAGGGCCTTGAAGTTTTCTAGTTTATTTTGAGGGTTTAGTATTTCATCTAGAGTAGGAACCTTATTTAGATTGAGGGTGGTTTGTAGTGTGGTTCTGTGTGTTTGGTAAGCGGGTGCAGTGGATGAGTGCGTGTTCTGTGGTTTCGGGTTGTTTGCAGTGGTGGCAGTTGCCTGTGGTGAGTCTTTTAAGTTTTTTTAGGTGGTTATTTAGGTTCGTGTGTCCTGTTTGGAGTTTTGTAATTAATCTGTCAATTTTTTTAGAGGGGTGTAGGATTTTAGGTTTGGCTAGTGGTTTTCTAAGCACTTTTTTGATTTGGCTATTTGAGTATTTTGAGAGATAATTTAGCTGCTTTATCGGCGCTTTCGTTGCCGTAAATTCCTACGTGGGCGGGGATCCACAAGAAGGTTATTTGTTTATCTGCTTTTGTTAGGTCGTTGGAGCTTTTAAGTATTTGGTTTATTAATTTAGGTCGTTTTGGGGTATTTTTGTTTTGGAGGGCTTGTAGTCCACTAAGGGAGTCGTTGAGAATTAGGATTTTATTGTTGTTTTAGATTGTTGGTTATGCAGGGCTGAGGCCATGCCCATAAGTTCGGCCGTGAATATAGATTGGTTGTTAGGGAGTCGGTAAGATTGTGTGGATATAACTGGTTGTGTGGTAAGGACTCCGAAGCCTGTGTGGTTGGAGATCGGGTCTGAAGATCCGTCAGTGTATATGTGACACCAATTTGGCCAATTTTCGTGTATGTATGCAAGTGTGGTGGTTTTAGCTATGTTTGGGTCGGTTTGTTTATTTATTTGGTTAGCTAGCGTTGTGTCTATTTTGGGTATTTTGAGTATAGGGGTGAAGATATTTGATTTTTTGCAGTTTTGTTTAAGATTTTGAGTTTGGTGTTCATTGAGGTAGTTAGTTATTCTTTGGGATATTGGGGTGAGTAAGGGGTGTTTGCGAGCTAGAGCTTGGTTTCTTGGGCTAATGTTTTGGTTAATTAAGTTTTGGATGAGAGGGTTTGTTTGGAACGTGGCCTAGAAAATAAGGCTTAGATGTTCCCTGCGTAGATTAAGTTGCACTTCCCCTGTAAGGGCCTGAAGTGAGGTGTAGGAGGTGCCATGTTGGGTGCGTGTAATTAGTTTAAGGGCTTGGTATTGTATTGAGTCAAGTTTTTTAGTTAGAGAGTCGTTTAGGGTATTGTATATGGCGCAGCCGTAGTCTAGTTTTGATCTAATAAGTGCTGTATAGAGTTAGAGGTGGGTATCTTTGGAGGCTCCCCAGTTAGAGCCGGTGAGACATCTTAGTGTGTTAAGGTCTTTCCTGCATCTAGTTTTTAGGTTTTGGACGTGAGCCTCCCAGGTGAGGTGTTGATCGAAAATGAGTCCTAAGAATTTAGTTTGTTTTTGGAATTTGATTGTTTGGTTGTTTAGCTGGAGGATTGGGTAAGGCAGGTTTCATGTTTTTATGTTTGAATACTACTCCTGTTGTTTTATCTGAGTTAAGGGAGAAGCCCCATTTGTCTGCCCATTGTTGTATTTTTTTTAGAGATTTTTGGATTAAGTTTTCTGCCATTTTAATGCTTTTAGTGCGGATCCATAGGGCTCCGTCATCAGCAAATTTTGAAGTGTTTAGTTTAGGGGATAAGCCCTCGAATAGATCATTTATTATTATATTGAAGAGGTTTGGGCTGAGGATGCTGCCCTGGGGAGTGCCATTTTCTAGGGGACACTGGTCCGATAGCGTATGGTTTAACCCACGGTCATTTTGCGATTGTTTAGGAAATCTTGGATGAAGTTTATTATTTGGCCTTTTAGTCCTATTTTTTTAGTTTTTGTATTAGCCCGTGGTACCATACCATGTCGAAAGCTTTAGAGAAGTCGAGGAATATGCCTATGATGTATTGCTTGTTCAGTTGTCCTGTTTTTATATCCTGTTCTAGTCGGGCGAGGTTATCGAGAGTTGATTGGCCAGGAGTGAAGCCGCTTTGGTCGGGGTTTATGATGTTGTTTTGGTCTAGGTAGTGCTGGAGCCTATTTTTAGTCATAAGTTCCGTTATTTTGCAGAGATTTGAGGTTAGGGAGATGGGCCTATAGGAGTTAGCCTGATCTGCTGGTTTATTTGGTTTAGGTATTGGGATTACTAGAGCTTCCTTCCATGAGGATGGGACCTGTCCGTTTAGGTAGACTAGCTAGGTTGTATAGTTTAAGTACAGTTTGGAGTAGTTTGTTAGGTAAGTGTTTGATTATTTGGTAAGAGGTGAGGTCTAGGCCAGGGGCTGATCCTTTTTTTCTATTGTTTAGTACGTGATTTTTTGTTCTTCTATGGTGTAAGGTTGGTTTATTTCTAGGTCGTCTTGTCTGTTTTCTTTGGAGAATTTGGTTTCTTTTTTTAGTTTATCTTGGAATTTCTTACTGAAGTTACTGTTGCTACTAACTTTAGAGAAGTGTTTGGCTAGGTTGTTGGCCTTTTGGGTGGGGTTAGTTGAATTGTTTATATTGGGGCTTTTTGTGCTGTTGGATGCCTCTGATGGCGTGAATTTTGCGCCACACCTTCCTAGCGTCGGTGTGGTGGTCTAGCTCCTCACAGAATTTTTTCAAGTTTTTGGTTTTAGCAGTTTTAACTAGGTTTTGGACTTGGTGGTTAAGTTCATGGGCTGTTTTGAGATGAGAGGGGTCTCGTTTAGCTCTTTTGAAAGCTGATTTGCGTTTTAGTCTAGTTAGCTCTATTTCCTCATTCCACCAAGGGACAGTGGGTTTTCCTGGGTTTGATGATTTGAAGGGGATTGTGGATTTGGCTGCGTTGATTATGTTTAGGAGGTGTAGGTTGTTGTGAATGGATGGGTGAGTGGTTTGATTATTACCTTCGAAGTTCTCCCTGGGCTTGCTATCAGCGGTGCTGTGCGTGGGCTTGAGGAGGCTCTGGAGGCTTGGAGAGGTGTTGCTCGCTTGGAGTACAAACTGCAACTGAACATTTCATGACAGTTACACTGATTTAAATCAACATTGTTTCAAAATCAGACCAGTTGGCAGTTGATTTGTCAGTGGTTTTATGATCTGTGACGTCAGAAACAACTGTCCGATTATAAATCTTATGAAAGTGAGACCAACTGAAACCTTCAGCGATACTTTAAATTAACATGCTCTCCAATTCTGAGGACACACAGACTACCTGACTGCAGAACTAATAGAGGTCTTTGTTCAGTAAACACGTTTGACAAGTACGCAAGACAGTAAGGCGCGGTATTAACGTAACATAAGCTGTAACATAAGCTGTGACATAAGCTGTGACATAAGCTGTAACATAAGCTGTAACATAAGCTGTGACATAAGCTGTAACATAAGCTGTAACATAAGCTGTGACATAAGCTGTGACATAAGCTGTGACATAAGCTGTAACATAAGCTGTAACATAAGCTGTGACATAAGCTGTAACATAAGCTGTGACATAAGCTGTGACATAAGCTGTACCATAAGCTGTAACATAAGCTGTGACATAAGCTGTGACATAAGCTGTGACATAAGCTGTAACATAAGCTGTAACATAAGCTGTAACATAAGCTGTGACATAAGCTGTGACATAAGCTGTGACATAAGCTGTGACATAAGCTGTAACATAAGCTGTAACATAAGCTGTGACATAAGCTGTGACATAAGCTGTGACATAAGCTGTAACATAAGCTGTAACATAAGCTGTAACATAAGCTGTAACATAAGCTGTTAAGCTTGTTCACCAATCCTAACTCATTTCAATGAATAAAAATATGTTTAAACCAAGACGCGGTAATAATCTATCGGTGTTTTCCAACCCAATATTACTTATATTTGCCGAACTAAATTCTACAAACAGTGAAACCATACAATACAGTTATGCATAGGTCAATGAGACAAGTGAAATACTGAATGAGATAGCTTGGGATTAAAACAATATTCGGACCTACTTCCTTGTTATTAACATTTTACGCATTTTATAGATATCCATAACATACATAACTTGCCTTGCTATTGTTGTTTGCTAGTTGATATGTATTTAATATATGGATTGCTCAGAAAGTTGGCAACAAATATACCAGTTTTCCAAGTGATAATTGATATGTTTAAGTCCACCTTAAGTAACACCTACCTTAAAATATGTCACGGAGTTCTGGTAGTTTTCCTTTCTGTTTCCCTGTGACGTTTATTTCAACACATCAATAACAGCATATAAATATCAGGATCGCCTATCAGGTTAGTAACGACCACAAGCCTATGCTGCAGCTGTTGCTACACACCATTGCAATTGCTTGTAATTTACATCGAATGTGTGACAAGCATATAAGGGTTTGATTCAGAGTATTATTGATATAGTAGTGTAGAAACTTTTTTTAATATCGGATAGGCGTTTACTTGGAATCAATTTAACTAAATTACCATAGCTTCCAGGGTTTTAAACATGTTCTGGTGTCATAGGGTGTACTGTTAATTGGGTATTTAGAAATAAGACCTTTGGAATAATATTTTTATAATAATAATAATAATAATAATATAGTTTATTACAGTGTCATGTGTTACAAAGTAATACAACATTTAGCACATACTTAAAATACAAACACCAGGCCTCAGAGGGCCGAAATGACACCTTAAGATATTACAAATATTAAAATACAATTAGATATTAAAAGTAATCATGCACATTCTTAATATCTACATACACACATATTCACTGACACAATCACATAATGCATGCATGCATACACACATACATACGCACGCACGCACGCACACAGACACACAATCAATCATTCTAATATTCTCTCGCACACATACTAAACAGACACCCAAACACATTCGCCGCCTCCGTGGTCTAGTGGTAGAGCGTCCGCCCGGAGAGCGGAAGGTCCGGGGTTCGATCCCCGGCCGCGTCATACCAAAAGACGTTAAAAGATGGTACTTGTTGTTACCCTGTCTGGCGCTCGACATTAAGGGGCTAAAACTGGTCGGCTCGGAGTCAGTATACTGTGTCTGAGTGGGGTATTCATGTTAAACTGAGGCATGGTATCTCAGTGAGCTAGCACTATAAATCCGCATCAGTACAAATGTGACTAGTACAAGCAGCCACACACACACACGTGCATGCACGTCGCTATATAAGTGCAATAATCTTGGACGCGACGTTAAACCCAATTTCACCTCACCCAAACACATTCAGATATCCCCCACCCCCTCACTCGAGACATACACACACATCCCTAATCATCATAGAAAACAATGCATATTACTTCATTTAAGACACAAGCAGAAAATCAAAGTAGCTTTGATACGTGCGAGTACGTGTGATTAATAGTGGTTTATACTATAATGATAAAATTAACACCAGTTAGTGGAACTAATCACAATCAGTGGTGAACTGTGTAACCAGCCCTTATGTCTCCCAGACATAGACAGACATGCACAGACATACCGATCAATTTGTGTCATTGTACAGTTTGTCCATAAAGTTGTATAATAGGAACGTGTCTTACCACAATAACGATGGTTATGAAGGTGTTCCATCAGGGTTTGGACAAAACCTCCACGGGGACTGCCCGCTACGTTGTTGGTGGTATAGACGCGGTCTTTCCTCGACAACTACAACGTGAAACACCTGGCCCCCGACAACTCAGCAACAATGAAGTGTTGTAACAGAGGGACTTATCACGCAACGTCAACATTAGTCATGAAATGAGCTATTGAACATAAACATAAAGGCATGGGTAGTAAATAAGACAAAGTTAAATAGCATACAGGAGAGGCGAGAAAGAAATCTACATCAATAATTTGATGATAACAATGATAATAATAATGAGCTATAATTTGCTGAGAAGGGTCACATAACCATTTACTGCACTTTACCCGGCTTTATTGACTGATGCGAGAATTTGGTCGAACAAAGCATATGAACATTTTATACCATAGTTAACATTGCTTCATCAGCGTATTGTGTACATCACCCAATGGCGTGATCGTATCCACGCTTCACATATCGTCTGTGTGTTTAACAACATTATTTTAAAAATCATCATGTGATTCCAAGCATGTTCTTTTGCGTTTGTTTCTTTAAACTTAAACAATAAGGCCAAGTGCACAAGTGGACTAGTGTTTCCTGTTTGACTGAGAAATGGGGTGGGCGTGGCAAGAGTTGCATTAATGCGCTGAACTTTATCACTGATTTCGTATTGGTGTCTCCACTGTTTTGTGTTTATGTTTAAAAAGCAATTTGTGAACTTATTGCTGTTGACTTTATTTCTAAGAATTGACTTCTATGTACATATAATAAAATGACGGGTATAATTATTTATCTCACCTTACATTAAACACTACCGTGTGCGAAATACGCTACAGTCGGAAATCGCACGTAAAATCTCCAATATAAGTAAGTAAGTAAAACACTAGCTTCTGATAGGTTGAGGAGCCTGCAATTATTTTCAATGTAGTTCGCTTATGTACCCCGCTGAGTAGTCAATCGTAACACACCTTAGGCAACTTGCCTATCTCGCACAAGTATCGTTGAGCTGAAATGAACCGATGTTTATCCGTTTGTATTTGGTAAAGGGAAGTAACTCGGTACGTTTGCGTCGTCTGCAAGCTTTCAAAATAGCTGATTCAAAGCGTTTTACGCAATGAAACTTCGGACATATATCCTGGGTCTGTATGAATGAATATCGCCGAGATAAATTCATTGTCAATTGAACCCTGGGGGCATATGGTGTATGTGGGGGACCCTATGTACCCCTCCCTCGCCTGACGACTCGGGGTACACAGGATACATCACACCAGGCTGTGACATAATAGGGATAACGGAAACACACTTGCGAGGATCGGACACTATTAAAGTTGATGGTTATGTTTGGTTTGGTAAAAACCGTACTAACGTACATGTGAATGCACCGAGAGGGTCTGGAGGAGTGGGGTTTCTTATAAAGACAGAACTTTTGACTTTTTATGATTTTGATATTGCTGAAAATTCCATTGAGGGAATACTATGGCTCGCTATGAAAAATAAATGCTATGATTGTGTCCAGTATATTTCAGTATGCTACTTGCCCCCTGATCACTCTTCTCGGAATTTGTGTGCTGAACATTTTTATGATAGTTTACTATCATATATTTATGAATTCAGAAATATTTCATTTATATGTGGAGATTTTAACAGTCGATGTGGAGAGGAAACGGACTTTATTGAAGGCGTGGGCGCTATCCCAGAGAGACATGTGCTGTACTATACAGTTTATAACAACGGAAAATTATGTATTGACTTTTTGATAAGAGCTAATATGTGTATGTTGAATGGACGTAATGTTTGTAAAAAAATATTTTACTTTTGTTTCACAGCAGGGTACATCTGTTGTTGACTATTGTTTCATACCTTGTGAAAGTTTAGAAAGTTTCAATGATTTTAATGTTATGCGGCCGTCTACTCTTGTGGAACGATCTGGGTGTGTGGGGGTCATTGATGGAAGTGCTCTACTGAAAGTTGATCATTCAATGCTGGAGTGGACGATGAAGGTAGATTATATACACAGACCAGAAAAAGGAGACTGAAGAATTGGAAATGGAGAAAAAAAACTGCCAATGAAGAAAGGAAGATATACTAAAGAAGGAATAAGGAATAAACGTCGACGAATAAAACAACCCTGGTGGAATGATGATCTCAACAGAAAATGGAACGAAATGTGCAAGGCAGAAAGATTATGGTCACGAACTAAAGATCAGAGAAAGAAAGAGAAAAAGGAAAGGTACATAGCTTTGAGGAAGGACTTTGATAGGAGTGTACAGAGGTGTAAACGCACCTACAGGAGTCAGATGCACCGTGAACTGGAGGAGATGTGCGAGAAGAACAAAGCGTAGCTGTGGAGGAAGATCGGGAAGATTTGAGTGGGAAGTGAGAGACAGAAGGGGATCCCAGTGGAGGTTGTGAAGGAGGATGGATCGGTTAGTACAGATAAACAGGTGGTGCTAGATACATGGAAGTCAGCGTTTGAGTCTCTTTTAAACACATCCGATAGCGGAATAGGTGATACTGACTTTGACATACCAATGCTAGATGATGAACCCTTTAATGCAAACATATCCCTATATGAGGTGAGGCGGGCAGTAGTGAAAGCAAAGAGTGGAAAGGCACCAGGTGTTGATGGAATCCCAGTACAACTACTGAAGGGAGAGGATATCATCCACACTTTGCATAGGCTCTTCTCGGTGTGTTTTGAGACGTCTACGATACCGATCCAATGGAGTCAGGGAATTATACGTCCTATTCCGAAGTCATCATCCCCAGATCCACTGAATTATAGAGGGATAACCCTGGCTCCAGCCATTTACAAGCTCTACTGCAGTGTGCTAAATGAACGACTGACCACATGGGCCGAAAGGAATGACGTCATTTGTGATGAGCAAAATGGTTTTCGTCGAGGCCGATCTACAACTGACCATATAGGGACGATAACATCCATTATTGAAACAAGAAAATTGAATAAAAAGTCCACATTTGTAGCTTTTGTAGATTTTAGGAAAGCGTATGACGGCATTAGAAGGGAACGACTCTGGCATAAGCTGACCCTGATCGGTGATAAAAATGTTTAGTGCTATGAAATCCCTCTATCACAACGTACAATGTGTTGTTCGTGTCAACCACTCTAACACCGAATGGTTCAATGTGAGACAAGGGCTTAACCAGGGATGTATTTTATCGCCAATGTTATTTAACATATTCATTAATGACTTGATATTAACCATGAAGGGACTGGGGATCTGAGAACAATGTGGTGAAGATGTTGTTAGCGTCCTGGCATACGCCGATGACGTACATGTAGCTCTCCTTGCAGAGACAGAGGAGGATCTCAACACACTCCTGTCAGTGCTGGACACCTGGTGTGGCAACAACAAGATGGTCGTTAATAAGGACAAGTAAAATATAATTCATTTCAGAGGATCATCCGTGACCCAGACAGCGGCAACATTCAGATGTGGAGATAATGTACTGAAGATTGTGGATAATTATCAATACTTGGGAGTGCTCCTAACAGAACATTTAGATTATAACCTGATGGCAAAGGCGGCGACTAAATCTGCAAGAAGCGCCCTTGGACTTCTAATTGCAAAAGCGAAATCGTTTGGAGATTTGCCTTTTAACGTGTATTCAAAGCTTCATGACTCTCTAGTGTGGCCGATAATGTCCTATGGAGCAGGAATATGGGGTACCAAGGTCCATTCGCAAGTCAATGCGCTACACCACAGAGCGATTCGGTTTTACTTTGGTTTGGGAAAATAAGCCCCTAACTTGGCCGTGAATGGAGATTCTGGATGGGTGCCACCGGAGGTCCGACAATGGACATGTGTTGCTAGACATTGGGCGAGAATGACCAACACAAGTACAAGGAGAATCAACAAGAGAATCTTCCGATGGGCAAATGAGACATCATTGAAAAACTGGAATCATCATGTAAGGAACTTTTTACAGAACTTCAACTTGGGTCATTTCATTCTATACGACGGCAATCTAGAAAAGGGTCTCTTTATTAAAACTGTATACGTACATGATACAGTCTCTAACAGATACAAACAGTCATAGGGAGGAAACAATCCGGAGTGAAGCAGCACATAGTGGAAGCAGCAAGTTACGGTCGTACAAACAATTAAAGAGTGAATATGGACAAGAAAGCGGCATTGCCTAAAAGTCGGGCCGGGCCGGGCCAAGACGGGCCAAAGTGTTACTGGCTAATTACTTCATTATCGGCGATCATACCTACATATAATTGATGCAACATACACACATGACATTAATGAACAATCAACAAACAGAAAAAGTGCACCATAAATAGGTAATTCGGAGTAAATCGCTTGAAAACCAGAAAGTGGAGCAGTGTGTTAGCGTCGCTGATCTTGGTAACATGTAAAAGAGCAATCGTTAAACGAAGTAAGATTTGAAACGTATCAAATACTTCTAGCTATCGTGATACAAATTTCCATCTGTGAGCATAGTGTTTATATTTATAGGAACGTTCTATATATAAGTAAATACCACTTTATAATGTCACTGATCGTCGTATTTAAAGCAGACACGTTGGTTAAAGCCGACCTCTTCTCCCTATACTCTCAACAGTCACACAGGGGTTCGGTCCGACTTGGCCCGGGCTGTCAAAATCAACTTTAAACTCACATATGTATCATCAAATGGATGCACATCTATAAACTAGTATAATATCTACCTAACTACCACTTTATAGTGTCTCAGATCACTGTACTTAAAGAAAACAAGGTGCTCAAAGTGAAGCATTTTTACTGTATTTTCTTTAGAAAATCTATGTCAGAAGTGTTCGGTCCGACTTGGCCCGGGCTGTCAAAATCAACTTAAACCTCACAGATGTATCATCAAATGGATTCACATCTTTAGATTAGTATTATATCTGCCTATATACCACTTTATAGTGTCTCAGATCGCTGTACTTAAATAAAACAAGGTGCTCAAAGTGAAGCCCTTTTCCCCCTACTTTCTCAACATAGTCTCTATCAGAAGTGTTTTGCTTGTGTTGGGTCCGACTTGGCCCGGGCGGTCAAAATCAACTTTAAACACACAGATGTATCTTCAAATGTGTTTATATCTATAGATTAGTGATATATCTACATATATACCACTTTATTATGTCACGGTACATCGTATTTAATGAAAACAAGGTACTCAAAGTGAACCATTTTCACTGTATTTTCTTAAGAAAATCTATGTCAGAAGTGTTCGGTCCGACTTGGCCCGGGCTGTCAAAATCAAGTTAAACCTCACAGATGTATCATCAAATGGATTCAGATCTTTAGATTAGTATTATATCTACCTAAATACCACTTTTATAGTGTCTCAGATCGCTGTACATAAAGAAAACAAGGGGCACAAAGTGAAGCCCTTTTCCCTTTACATTCTCAACATAGTCTCTATCAGAAGTGTTTGTCTTGTGTTGGGTCCGACTTGGCCCGGGCTGTCAAAATCAACTTAAACCTCACAGATATATCATCAAATGGATTCACATCTTTAGATTAGTGTTATATCTACCTAAATACCACTTTAATATGTCACGGTACATCGTATTTAAAGAAAACAAGGTGCTCAAAGTGAAGCATTTTTTCTGTATTTTCTAAAGAAAATCTATGTCAGAAGTGTTCGCGTATTTTTGTGCTTAAGTCACTTGGACATTGTTTAGCTTCATAAACTGTTCATAAGAAACATTTCAGACAGCTTTGACATCATTGATGACTTAGTCTTATGAGATGTGTAAACCTTAGGGGAAATGAGCTCAAGTAAATACAGAAACAGAGGGTCTAAAATTGCCACAGTGTTAGGTCCGAAAGTCTATTTAGGATTTAAATTGTGATTAAGGAAGTAGAGGGTAGAGAGAGAACAAGATAACAAATCTTAACAAAACCTACCTGCCAAACAAGTGCTAGTTCGTTCGTATCCGTAATCCGTCACAAACTGTGATGAACGCATCGCCGTCACATCTGTACACAAAGCAAGTGCATAGTCTAAACTAGGCTATTCTTTAGCCGTTTACAAATGCCTCGACAACTGTTTCCACACATGAATGACATCAACCATGGCTCTCAACTAGTACGGGTACACATGGCTATTAATGCTCATGTGTGTCAGGTTGCCCAAACCTCACCGTCGTATCTGGACACAAAACAAAAGCATAGTCTAAACTAGGCTACATATGCATTTCTTCAGCCGTTTCAATAATGCAGTGCGCTGTCACAGCATGCTGCGTAGGTCTGTACAGCACAGTGTATTTTATTAGTAATTGGTCGATCCTTCATAAATCATATTTTTGCCATTCATTTCACATATGCCTGGGTAGAATTGAGGTAGGGGAAGGACTTCTGGTCAGATAACAAGGTATTCAGATATCCAGAAACTCGTTTATCCGGACAACATTTTAGAAAAAGCAATTGTCCGGATAAGCGAGGTTCGACTGTATAGCGCGTGATACATGACCAAACAGATGTGTTAGGACCTGATTCGCACTTGCTGAAGGGATACCAATGGACCCTGATCATAATACATTGGTTGCTTATTATTATTATTATTATTATTATTATCAAACATATTGTATTGTCCAAAAAGACAAAGGGATTGGGCACAAGTGCAGCACTTATTACCACCTTCTCCCTATATACTGTTATACCTAATATTGCATAATGAAAATTAACAATTTACAGTTGAAGCATCACATTGTGGAAACATAGTGCGCAATATAAATTTATATACAGTGCTCATATGAAGGATATGTACAATGTGCTGGAAAGTGAAGACAGTGTGCATCTCATACATATGCTAATATTATACATGTTAATGTTGTATATAGATTTAACAATATTAATGATTAACAGTTTGGAAACAATAATATGCTAGCTACTGAATCTGTTGGTCGTTTCTATAAATTTGTGTACAGACAAGAATATTTTTGTATTCAGGAAAACATCTACATGTAAGTTTGGATCACAAAAAAGAATACTATTTAGAGTTTTTTGTCCTCCAAGATTATCGATAGCTGTAAGTAATGTCTCCCTAATATCATCATATAAGGTACATTGGAAGAAGAAATGGAATGAATTTTCACAAGGAGCTCCGCATTTACAGGAAATAGTATCAGATAATTAACACGAAACAGGTCGTGTCAGTCCTCTGACATTCGCGAATATCCACTTGCAGAAAACATCCTGTGTTGGTTTAACATGAATTAGTAAAGGTTAATTAGGTATGCCAAACACGTTAATTAATGAAAGAAGAGTAGTCAAAACACTGTCATTTCGAATTCCTGCCCAGGACATCACACCCCTGCACGCTAAGGTCGGTGAGAAACCTTCTCATCAAAATAAAGACACAGTCAAGACACTGACTTTTCGGTATGAACTCTCGGTATGAAGCTATAATTATCAGTTTATTACATTGCTGAAGATACATTTTGATTCAAACTCAATTAAATGAGCAAAACTATCCGTTTCTGGACATTTGAGATCTGCCTAGATATGCACGTTTCGTTTTATTATTCTGCAATCCATTTTTAGTATTACCCGCTGGCCCGGCCCGACTTTTCTTGGCCCGACTTTTAGGCAATCCCCAAGAAAGCTATGTCAGTCGACCAATCCCACGCAAACACAGAAGTGCACTAGCAAAGTTTAGACTGGGCGTGGCCCCTCTGCGGATCGAAACGGGCAGATACGAGAACATACCCAGAGAGATGCGGCTGTGTCTTAACTGCAAACATGTCATAGAAGATGAGAAGCATGTCCTTTTATTCTGTCCCCTTTACGACGAAATACGTTTTAGCCTCATCAACAAGTGCAATAGTTTATGGATAGATTTTACTTCTTTGACAGAGCAAGATAAATATATTAGGATTCTATTAACTGATGACCTCACCTTTTACTGTGCCAGAACCTGCCATGACATTTTATATACCCGGAGGAATATTTTATATCATTGAGTCTTAAACATTGTATTGTATATTAATGTATGTATATTTTAATATTTAGCTTTTGCTATTTTTTTTATTATGTGCCTGTTTACAATGTACCGTCTCTCATAAATCGCTGTGCGATTGGTTGTATACAACTTTAATATAACTATATTTTTAATTTGTTTTAACAAAAATGTGGTATACAAGTGAGACGTTAATAAAATCTTCTTCTATACCTCTCGGTTGTCGGTTGACAACTAAGGGATATAATGTATCATGGAAGGGCTTTCATTGTGCTTACATACCATGTTATAACTGAACTGCTGATAAAAATCGTCCGAATCCTCTCCAACAACCTCCACGACTTCTCTAAAAGAAAACTTACAGAAGCAGTCCACATTCGCCACCTCAAACCGCCAATCAACAGAGATCATGGCTATTTCATCCCATCCGCCTACTATGAACTCATAAAGCAATAAGCACCCCACCTATGTACACTTGATCCTGTTCCATTAGGTTCCTGTGTTATTGGCTTCCTCATCACGTGTTCTCTGTCCATCATGGTGTTTCAGTTTTATCCTTCTGTTGTCATTGTTTAACCTACTCACGTTAATCTCTCTGATGTATGCAGTTGTTGTTACTGTTAATCCTCCACCTACTATATGTATTCTACACCATGTTCATTTATCATTAATCAAGATAATCAATCTTAAAACAAGAATTGCAGTTAAATCCTCTATCTGTCATAGATCTCCTAAAGCCAAGAGATGCTTTAGCGAAGGTCAAACTAACTCTATTTCTGAGAGATGGACAGCTACTCGAACGTATATAAACAGAGCAGCCAAGGATAAACATGAGATTATATCAATATACGAAAATAGAAATCATATCAATACAAAAAACATAAATTATGTGAATACCCTACTCACATACAGGAGTCCCAAAGAGGGAGAGGTCAGCCGAAACTGCTTAGGCAGAATGACACTTAAAGCAACAACAACAACAACATCATTAATCAGCCTTACTTGACAACGGCAGAATGATCTATACCGAAACGTCGCCTTTACAGTAAATAAAGAAATTGTTATCCATAAAGAGGTTTTATTGTGAATTATAATATAATCTAGGGAGGGGTAACAAATGATTGATCAACCACAGTTTGAATGCAACTGTGCAATCACAGGTAATGTAAGCTCAAGGTAAAAAAAATTGTCAGACAAACTACAAGTTCATTGTCGACACAGTTGCCTTCAATAGCGTGTATGACCTCCAGCTGCCTCAATGCATACTGTATTACGCCGCCTCACCGATGACGTCAGTCTTCTGATGACGTGGACTGGAATCCGTTGCCACTCGTCTCTTAGGGCCTGCTGCAATTCTTGTCTGTTGACGGGAGGCTGATGGCGTGCTCTAATCTGTCTGTCAAGATGGTCCCACAGATGTTCAATAGGATTCATATCGGGTGAGTGGGCAGGCCAGGGCAAAACATCAACGTTCTGCTGGTTTAGAAAGTTCCGAGTCAGTCTTGCAGTATTGGGCCTGTCATTGTCGTGTTGAAACAATGTCCCCTGCTGTTGGTTTTGAAAGAACGGAAGTACAACTGGCTGCAACACTTGGTCTCTGTACTGCACAGCGTTCAGGTTCCCTGTATAATCACCAAATCAGTCTTCTGACCTCCACAAATACCGCCCCACACCATGACACCTCCCCCGCCGAATGGATGGACCTCTCGAATACACGCCGGAGCCAAACGTTCCCCTCTGCGTCGATAAACTCGTTCTCTGCCCTCATTTCGAAACAAGTTAACCCGACTTTCATCAGTAAACAGCACTCGACGCCAATTTCTCACTTGCCAGCGTCGAACCTGCCTCGCCCATCGCAGTCTCAGGCGTCGATGTTGAGCAGTCAGTACCATTCCTCGGAAAGGACGAGGACGAATCAGCCTGGCTACTCTAAATGGTGTACAACTAAACCTTCTGGCAATTTGGACCTGTGTTGCCCCCATTTCGGCCATACCGATTGCTCTCTCTCTCTCTCTCTGCTCCTAACGTGTGGTTATACCCTGCAGACGAACGCATTTATACAGCTAACATGCACGTGCAGTTTATGCCATAGGCGGGAAAGCTGTTTCACCATTTTTTGTCACCGCACGAGCGCCGTAAAAAGTGGCGCATTCGGGTGAGGTGTTTTTTGGTACCTGTTCCTGGGCAGTCATATTCCCAATACCCGCTTTCCACTAGTGATCGCTGTTTTTAGGAAAATTACAAATTGCCAACCTATATACTTTCTTTTGCCGCTTAGTTTATATACCATTCAAAGGTGACATGCCCAGTAATATTTAAATGGGTTATAAAAATGCAACATATATAAACATATATAAACGCATAAACGCCAAAAAAACTATTAAAGTCAAATACATGTCACAAACTTTGTTATATAAGTTAATATATCCAACTCATTAAATTAGACCTCATTTTTAATTGTTTGATTTTCCGGGTTCCATTCCCGTCATCGGTACAACGTGTGAAGCCCATTTCTGGTGTCCCTCGCCGTGAAATTGCTGGAATATTGCTAAAAGCGGCGTAAAAGCATACTCACTCACTCACTCCTCACAGAAGTCCGCATGTATGGCGAAAGCAAGGAGGTATATTCTATGTCGCTGCGTGTGGTTCAGTGTGATACACTAAACTCACTCACTTGCTTGTCTTCAAAGGCCGCAAATGGTGACCATGTGTATCACCGTACCCCCAAAGTGTCGATCGTTGTTCATTCGAACCGGGTATATCATTCCTGTAGATATAGATGCCGACTGCGATGCAAAATAATATCAACTCGTTCACTCTAAGGCCAATAATGCGCCTAAACATAAGTTAAACACATATTTCAATTCATTTATCTTATAGGTCGGCGGTCGGGTAGCCTAGTTGTTAAAGCGTTCGCTCGTCACGCGGAAGATCCGGGTTCGATTCCCGACATGGGTACAATGTGTGAAGCCCATTACTGGTGTCCACCGCCGTGATAGTGCTGGAGTATTGCTAAAAG